GGATGAAAAGAGTTGTTTAAGCTTACCAAAAGCTTCTTCAGCCTCCTGGGTCCAGTTGAAGGTGCGTAGAGTAGACGCCAGTTGGGTGAGCAGGGCAGCAATTCTGCTGTAGTCTTTGATAAAGCGTTGGTAGAAATTTGCGAACCCCAAGAAACGTTGCAGCTGTTTACGGTTCTTCGGAACTGGCCATTCCACCACTGCCCTAGTTTTCTCAGGGTCAGTTCAATAACATCCACCCTCAAAAATGAAGCCCAGGAACGATACAGATGAAACATGAAATTCACATTTCTCAACTTTCGCAAACAGCTGATTTTCATATAGTCTCTGGAGGACCCTTCTTACATGATCTATGTGTTGCTTTTCGTCCTGGGAATAAATCAAAATACAAAGTATCATCAAGATAAACAAAAACAAAAATGTTCACAAAATCCCTTAAGACATCATTCACTAAGGCTTGAAAAATAGCTGGGGCATTAGTAAAGCCAAAGGGCATTACTAAATATTCAAAATGTCCAAGAGGTGTTCTGAAAGCAGTTTTCCACTCATCGCCTTCTCGACTTCTCACCAGATGGTAAGCGTTTCTGAGATCGAGTTTAGAGAATATGGTGGCTGAGTGAAGTTGCTCCTGGATAGAGTTAATCAAGGGAAGAGGATATTTATTCTTGACAGTTGTTTGATTTAATCCTCTATAATCTATACAGGGGCCGAGGGTCTTATCTTTCTTCTCAACAAAGAAGAAAACTGCCCCTACAGGAGAAGTGGATGGTCGAATAATACCAGAGGCCAGGGATTCTTCAATATAGGTCCTCATCTATTCTTTTTCGGATCCAGATAGATTGTAGAGTCGACTGGAGGGAAGGGGTGTACCAGGGAGGAGGTTTATGGAGCAATCATAAGGTCGATGATGAGGTAAGGACAAGGCTTTTTGCTTGCTGAACACAGGGGCTAAGTCACGATGTATTGATGGAACCTTAGATAAATCAATCTCCTCAGGGATCACAGTCTCTTTCTCCTTCTCAAAAGGAGTTACAGCTGTCTTCAGACAATTTTATAGACAGAAAGGGCTCCATCTCTGTACTCGCTTCTCTGCCCAATTTATCATAGGATTATGTTTTTTCAACCAGGGGAACCCCAGGATTAACTGGGCCCCTGGAGAGTCTAGCACAAAAAATTAATTTCTTTCATGATGATTACCAGAAATGATTATATGAATGTCCAAAGTCTTAAGATGTATCTGTGTAAGACTCTGTCCTGTAATACCAGTCACAGTGAGAGAAGTTTGGAGCTCATGAGTGGGAATGGAGAGACGATCCACCAACTCTTTACTAATCAAACTTTGTTCAGATCCAGAATCTACCAGAGCAGAAACAACACATCTTTGATGATTAATTAGTATCACAGTAGGTAAAACAAATCTGGAGACAGGAGACATAGAAGAGGTTCCCACCAGAAGCTCCTGTTTTACAGGTGAGAATGCTCGTTTCCCCAGAGTGGGCAAGGAGCAATAAAGTGACCCTGTTTTCCACAATAAATGCAGCATTTTTTCACAATTCTCCTCTGTTTCTCTTCAGGGGTGAGACGAGTTTGGCCAATTTGCATAGGTTCAGACTCAGGTTCAGAGACTGGAGTATACGTCACCTGACGCTGCGGAAGTGGGCGGAAACCGGAAGTGTAGGAGTGACGGAACTTGTAGTTTACCTTTCGACTACGTTCCTGAAAACGTTGATCTACGCGGGTAGCGAGATGAATTAATTCATCCAAAGTCTGTGGTTCATCTCGAGAGACTGATCCTTGATTTTGTGAGAAAGGGAGTGTAAAAAGGTACCTCTCAAAGCCAACTCGTCCCAACCCGTGCGGGCAGCGGTGATCCGGAACTCAAGTGCGTGCTCCGACATGGAACGTCTGCATTGCCGGAGAGTGAGGATATGTTTGACTGCAACAGACTGCTGCAGAGAGTAGTCGAAAACTCGGAGGAACTCTTCTAGAAAAACAGAAATGGTTAGAGATTCCACTGAATGGGTGAGCATGTACGAATTAGCCCCACGTAGCGCTTCTCCCTTTAGCTGACTGATCAAATAGGAAATCTTAGCAGCATCTGAAGCATAAAGCTGGGGAGCCCTTTGGAAGGCGAGTCTGCACTGTAAAATAAAGCCCCCGCAAAGATCAGGGTTTCCTTAAAAAAAACTCAGAGGGTTTGAGACTTTGTTCGTATACTGTATGAAGCACCAGTGGAGCTGCAGGGTACAGAGGTTGACTCTCAAGCTGAGGAGCTGGAGCAGGTGGGCATAATGAGCTCAATTTTTGGTTAGTTGCACACAACATGCTGCCAAGTTCTTGAAGTTTTTCCTGATTGGTTTGTAATTGTACAAGGATCTTGTCGAGTGTGGCATCGTGCTTATCAATGTGTTCTATCTGTGAAGAAAGTGTGAGTTTAAGCTGTTCTGCTTCAGTCACATTCTGGGTTGTTCTGTTTGGCTGTTGCACTCTGTGAGGTTTTTCTTTAGGTCAATACCCAGATGTAATGGACTGAAGGAACAACTCAAGACTCAGGATGAAAAAATAACAGTGTGTTCATTTACAGTGCAATGAAACTGCCGTTGGAGGGAGCTAGAACCCTGGAGAACGAGGGTAGATGGTGAGTAATCTCAATATGGTTTTATGATAATAGATGATGGTAATTTCTTAGCTCTTACAGTGAGAGTAGTAGAAAGATGGGTGAACGAGGATCCATTGGTCCCAGATTAACAAGGTATGTCCATAGGCAGTCCAGTAGTGTTGGGCAGTGGTAGGAAGGCCAAAGGAACAGCTGAGGTAATCCAGGGAGACACAGGAGGATGAGGAGTTTCGCTGAGGGGTTCACAGAGAGGTCCAAGGTAGACACGGAGGTCGGTTGAGGAGTCCAGAAGGGAAGATGGTTCCACGAGGAGGTCGAGGGAGCACAGGAGCACAACTGTAACACGAGAGAGCCAGGATGAATATCTACAACACTAGAGGGCAAGGTTAACTAGCTAGGAGCTTACTACCAGAAGGCGTGTAGTGCAACAGCATTGAGTTGAGGTGACCAGTCACCCTTTATACTCCTGCCTCTCATCAAGGAGGATGATCTCCAGGTGTGGCTGATTGGCACCGTCATGAGATCTGGAGCTGTGGAGAGAAAAGCTGGACTCCAACAGATTTTGGTCAGCCGTGCCCAATCTGCCCCGCTCAGTCTGCCCGTCTCGGAGGAGGGGCAGACTGAGCGTGGCTGACCGAAATCAGGCTGCCTGCTTCGGATTGAACGAGAACAACACACCGCTGAAGCCACGGAGCTCAAATGTTTACTGAGAAGTTGCTAAACTTCATCGTAATTAATGACCAACCGCTCTCAGTTGTATAAAACAAAGGGGCTGTTATCTTGTTTTGGAATGGTTTGATTGCCTTCAGCATGTTGATTGGAAGCTTGTCTCGCCCTTGGAGTTGCAAGTTGAGTGCGTTCAGGTGACAGGTAATGTCTGTAAGTGGACAGCTGTATGATCCATTGTGTATTTTTTAACTCCTGCTATTTTCCCTTGCTGTTCCAAAAAGTGCAAATTTCAGGAAGGAGGCTCAGAAACTGCTCCAGCACCTTTCCACGGGACAGCCATCTAACTTCACTGTGCATCACTAGATGGCTGTACTCTTTGTCATAGTCTTCAATTAACTGTCTGAACTGTCTGGCTTAGTGCAAAGGAAATTATATAATTTACCACCTGCACAACAGTTTGCATCACATTCTGAAATTTGTTGTTTCTGATATTTGATACAAGGGACTCGATGGATGATGCAATGGAAACTAATGCAATTTGGTATTTCGTCTCATTTTTCATGTCAACAAGACCCTTCTCCTTGCCTCGCATGCTTGGAGCACCATCATTGCAAGTTTGCAAGTTTGGATCAAATTGACAATTTGAACCGGTTTGGATCAGCACACCCAACTCATGAATGGTTTAAAATGTTTATTAGGAAATAAACAGCTTCTGGTGTAGGTCAGGGTCCTGGCTTGAGTCCGATCTGTCAAGACAGAAGTATTTGTGAACTTGGCGTGGATAGGGAAGTACAGAGGGGTTCTGTGATCTTCACTAACCTTCTGTCTTGATGGCAAAGCAGGTGCTGTTGTCACGTTGGTGCTGGTGATGTCAGTCATGCAGAATAACAGCAGCAGAGGAGCAGATTAAGATCATTCCGAGATCTATATCTGTATAAGCCTTCATAGACTCTGGAGCAAATACTGAATTTATTGATCATCAATTTGCATCAATCTGTGGGTACTCTAGTCTACCAAATCTCACAAGGTTCTCGCTCTGGACAGTCATTCTCTCCATGATTCTAACCTTGAAACTACACCCGTCACTTTGCTACTAGAGGATAATCACAAATAAATCACCAATAAAGCATGGCGAGCCATGTGTGGTTCGGGAGCTGTACAATGATTATCCCTGCAATATATGAAATATGCATTAGTAGTTAAGCATCAAAAATGGCACAGGAGGATCAAACAGGATCTCAGTAGTATGCAGATGATGCACACTAATAAACTGTATTATCTATATGTATGTTTAATATAATGATTAGGCTGGAGTGATAAGACTCTTTGAACTACTGTACACAAACAATTTGTTTTACATAAATTGAAGACTTGTTTCCTGCATTATATCCTATTTTTTGTTTTTGTTTATTTTAAAATCAGTAAATATATTGTTACATGTATTTTCTTTTTTTTTTCACAGCAGTCAGTGACGGTTGGTGACAAAATCTGTCAAAAGAAGCAAGATCCAAGAGAAATTGAACAATTGTTTGTCAGACTTCACCCTCAAGACAATTACCAGCAGAAGTTGACTCCAGAGGTTTTTCTTGAAATTAGTCCATCTTTAAGTCCCTATCATGAAACATGTGAGAAAGATCTAGCTCACACCTTTCTTCACAGGCTCATGAAGTTGGATTACAGGGTCAGATATATTCCAGTTAAACAAGACAACCATGAAATGACATGTCTACATACTATTGCTAGGAATGACTCAGTTGAGGCAGATGAAAATGATTTAGAGGCTCTTTTAAGCTCTAGTGTAAACACAAATCAAACAAAACAAACTCCGATACATCCAATGGATGTTCAAATGGCCGTGTTTCATTGTTCAGACAGTTTCCTCAGGCAGATCATGATCACAAAGCTGTCACAGTGTCAGTATGCCTTACCTTTGCTTATTCCTGACCCATTCACAATGGAGATTGAGTGTCCTTTATGGACATTCAGACAGATAACAAAAACATGGAAGATAACTGAAAACAAAGGTGATTCATACATCACCATGAAAAGTATTCCAATCTACAAAGCTGAGACTCCATTGGTGTCGTTCTTCCGTTTGGGTTCAACATCAGTGTCCAAGTCTCAGCTGATGAACTCTTTGATCAATGACCGCCATGACACATTCTTCCACAGAAACTGTGCTGGTAGTACAAAATCTTGCCATTTATTGAACGGTGTTGCAGAGATTGCATGGTACTTCCCTGCTGGAAAACCTAACGATGCCTTCAATGACTGCATTGCCTTTTGTAATCTTCATGGAGATGCTGCAGTGATTAAAATACAACGTGAAATACTGACTGAAAAATCTTCATTCAGTGTTGTGCTGGTGTCAAATCTGCAAAAAGATGACCAGAATTGGTCAATCATTTCTGCTCTTTTCATGTCCAAAAAGCCTCTTATTTGTCTTGTTGTTGATGATACTTGTGGCACTACTGAGATTAAAAAGGGAAAATACAAAATGGGACTAAAAGACAGAAGTCACTCAGATGTATCTGAACAGCTTAAAAGAATAATTCAAGACATTTTGTCTTCTCAAGATTTATCTATTCCAAAAACATTCTTTCAGCTTGAAACCATGGCTGAGGTCTCTGGAATTAAAGTGGATGAAAGTGACCCTATCTGTCAAAAGGGGAGATCTGAAGCTATGAAAATAGCTAATCTGCTTCAACATAGGAATGTTTCAAGGATCAAGGATGATTTCCTTCCTTGTCAAGGTCATCTGTGGCACGAGTGGTGCAAAAGAAACAAAGAACTCTATAATCTTAAAGGAGACGTTGAAATGGACAAATCCATAAAGGAAAGAAAACTGATGGAAATACGGAAGAGGCAATGTGGTGCTCCCTGCAGTAAACTGATGAAGCTATTCACCAAAAGCCTTTTGTTGTTGCCATCAAAAGACAAAAAATACTACCTGAGATGGACTCAGATCCTAACAGATGCTCTCTCAGCAGATGATATTTCTTCAATTCTACAGAAATATGATGACACATGGTCTAAATTCTTGACTTTAAAGAACAATCATGACAGTGCCAAACTCATAGAAAGCAAGAAAAATGAGCTTGAAAACCTATCAAAAGAACTGCAGTCAGCAACCTTTGGCTTGGAGCACTTTTTCAGAGAAATGGGACAGTTATATGAGGCCCATGAAACAATTTTCGCAGAGAATAGAAAGGGTGAGTGGTCCAAATACCCTGAGTTGGCTGCAGATCTACTGATCTCTGGATACCCCTTAGAACTAATGGATGGTGATGCAGGTCATGTTCCTTTGAAATGGATCTCTAGTCTTTTAGAAAAAGTCATCCAGAAACTGGGTGACCAAAAAGTTTTTGTGCTGTCAGTTTTGGGTGTACAAAGCAGTGGAAAATCAACAATGCTGAACGCCATGTTTGGATTGCAGTTTGCAGTGAGCGCTGGCAGGTGCACCAGAGGTGCATTCATGCAGTTGGTAAAATTATCAGATGAGCTCAAGAAAAACTTTATGTTTGACTATATTGTGGTGGTGGACACTGAAGGATTGCGTGCTCTTGAGCTGACCGGCACCTCAACCCTTCATCATGACAATGAACTGGCAACGTTTGTCGTAGGAGTGGGAAACATGACGTTAATCAACATCTTTGGAGAAAATCCAGCTGAGATGCAGGATATCTTGCAGATTGTTGTTCAGGCTTTTATGAGAATGAAGAAAGTTAAACTTTCACCGAGTTGTCTTTTTGTTCACCAGAATGTTACAGATATTGCAGCAGCGGAGAAAAACATGGATGGAAAGCGACGCTTGCAAGAAAAGCTGGACCAGATGGCTCAGTTAGCAGCCAAAGAGGAGGATTGTGTTGCAAAGTGCTTCAGTGACATCATTAAATTTGATGTACAACATGATGTGAAATATTTAGCTCAGCTATGGGAAGGCAGTCCACCTATGGCTCCCCCAAATCCAGGCTACAGTGAAAGTATCCAGGAACTGAAAAACATTATTCTCTTAAAAGCTTCAAAGTCCAAGTTCATCACTCTTTCACAGTTCAGTAGAAAAATCCAGGACTTGTGGAATGCCCTTCTGAAAGAGAACTTTGTTTTCAACTTTAAGAACACAGCTGAAATTGCATTGTACAGAAAACTTGAGGACCAGTACGGAAACTGGACCTGGACCATCAGGAGCAACATGCTGACCATTGAAGACCAGCTTCATAACAAAATAGAAAACGGACAGCTAAACAAAATTGACTTGATTGATCTTATTAATGAATCAAACAAAACATACAAAGAAGTAAAAACAGCAATGTCAAACTTCTTTGAGGATGACAAGGATAAAGAAATTCTGGTTCAGTGGAGAGGCCGATTCGAGAACAAAATCAAGGAGTTTCAAAATGACCAGGTCAGAGTGGTGAAAAGAAAACTGGATGAAGTTATCCAGCAAAAGCTTACTCAGAAAAAGCTGGACGATCAGAAGCCAGTGTTTGAGAACAAACTCCTACAGAAGAGCAAGGAACTTGCTCAGCAGTTAAAAGATAAGCCCAACGACGAAAAAGAGTTTCTAAATCAGTTCAACTCTGTTTGGAGCACCTGGGTTACAGAATTAACAAACGATACAAAATCTGTTGATGACATCAGTCTGAATGAGGATCTGTTAACTATCCTTCAAGAGCTTGGGATGGAATCAGCTCTCATAGTGGAATGTAAAACAAGAGGCAGGTACAAATGCTTGCCAGGGATTGGTGATTATACAAAATATGTGAGCTTCCCAAAGAACCAAGACATGTCTGAAACAAACGAACCATCTAAAAATAACGAGAACAAACAAGAAGACACTAAGAAACAAAAATCATTTTTCAAATCTTTATATGGAGTTATCTTTGGAAAAAATGTATCAACACCAACAGAGCAGCAGAACTCATGCAGTCATTTACAGTATGAAGATCAAGAACAGGTCAGAGAACTCATTGACAGTGTTTTAGCAGAGTCTCTTGAGACAGTCCAACAGATGCCTGTTGCTACAAGAGGCTACAGTTCAACTTACTTGCAAGAAATTCTCAAACTTGGAAAAGAAAAGGTTAAAGAATTTAAATCCAATTGGAAGTATCCTTTAAAGAATGAGTTTACAGTTGATCTGCTCCTGTATGTGTTCCATTCAGCAAAAAGTGGACTTCTGGAGTCCCAGAACAAATTCAGAAGGAACACTGATGCACTCTGCTATTTAGAAAGCAAGAAAATTCAATATTATAACATTTTCAAAAGCTTTTGCAAAGGAAGTTCCTCTGCTGTTGTGCTTGGAGAACTGATCTGTGAAAAGTTAAAAGCATCCATTGTAGAAGCTGCCTACAACAAGACTGCCATCACTCTTGCAGGAGAGATGATGTGCAACTTCCCAGCCTTTAATGGAAATAGGCTGAACTTGGAGAAACATGTGTTGCAGTCACTCGCTGAAAAAGAGGAGTTTGAAGGTTTCAAAACATACATACAAAATCCAAGGAGACAGACAGTGGCTTTCATAAAGGCTGAAATACAAAAATACATCGCCACCAATTCCAAAAACAAAAAACTAAAAATTGAAACATTTCTTCAAAAACATGTTGAGGACATTTACAAATGTGTTGGTAATGCTTTATATGATGCAACACTGGAAGTGAAGACTCAACATGGAGACACAAACATGTGGCTGAACCAACTATTCAGCTTGTTAAAAGATGAGCTAACAATTGAAAGCATCTGTGCTCAGAACTTCAGTGACATAAAGGACTTTGATTTTCTCAGAGATGAATCTAATAAACAACTTGGATCAGTCATAGAGGAAATTAGCAGTTTTTCAATAGATAGAATGAACAAGTCCAGGCAGAAGCCTGAAGAAATCCTCATTGATCAGCTGTGTATGTGCTGCTGGGTAAAATGTCCATTCTGTTCAGCTGTGTGCACCAACACCATTGAAGGTCACAGTCCTGATGACCACAGCGTCCCTTTCCATCGACCCTCTGGGATCAATGGTTGGCACTACAGATACACTGTGGAGATGAGCATCAACTTCTGCACAACAAATGTTGCCAGTGATCGGAAATTTTATCCTCATCGTGATTCAGAGACATCTGTACCTTACAAGTGTTACAGAACTGCTGGTCCAAAGTATGCTGCATGGAGAATCACTCCTGATGAGTCCAAACTGGCATACTGGAAATGGTTTGTGTGTCGATTTCAAAAACAGCTGGAAGAGCACTATGGATTAAAATTTCAAGGCAGAGGAAAAATTCCCAATGATTGGAAAATAATTTCAAAAATTGAAGCTATAAAGAGTTTGGATGAAATGTATGAGTGAATCAACTACACCACAAGTTTTGTCAATATTCATCCATCCATTATCTTTTACCCACTTCTTCCTTTTTGGTTTGCTGAGGTCACTGTGCCCATGTCCACCTATTACTGTGAGAGAGATACACCCTGGACAGGTCTCCAGTCCATCACAGGGACACAAACGAGACAAACAACCATTCACTCTCACTCACACCTAGAGACAATTTAGAGTTACCAATCAATCTAACATGCATGTTTTTGGTCTGTGGGAGGAAACCAGAGTACCTGGAGACAACCCACGTATGCACAGAGAAAACATGCAAACTCCACTCCACCCAGAAAGATCCCCAGACCTGGATTTGAACCAGGATAACCTACTCGCTGAGAGGCAGCAGCTCTACCAGTTGCGCCACTGTGCTGCCCAGTTTTGTCAATATTTTATCCATCCATCCATCCATTTTCTTCCGCTTATCGGGGGTCGGGTCGCGGGGGTAGCAGCTTAAGTAGGGAGGCCCAGACTTCCCTCTCCCCAGCCACTTGGGCCAGCTCTTCCGGGGGAATCCTGAGGCGTTCCCAGGCCAGCCGAGAAACATAGTCCCTCCAGCGTGTCCTGGGTCTTCCTCTGGGCCTCCTTCCGGTGGGACATGTCCGGAACACCTCACCAGGGAGGCGTCCAGAAGGCATCCTAAACAGATGCCCAAGCCACCTCAACTGGCTCCTCTCGACGTGGAGAAGCAGCGGCTCTACTCTGAGTCCCTCCCGGATGATCGAGCTTCTCACCCTATCTCTAAGGGAGAGCCCAGACACCCTGCGGAGAAAACTCATTTCGGCCGCTTGTATCCGAGATCTTATTCTTTCGGTCACAACCCAAAACTCGTGACCATAGATGAGGGTAGGAACGTAGATTGATCGGTAAATTGAGAGCTTCGCCTTTTGACTCAGCTCTCTCTTCACCACAACAGACCTGTACAGCGCCCGCTTCACTGCAGATGCTGCACCAATCCGCCTATCGATCAATCTATCAATATTTTATATAAAATTTAGTTAGTTTCTATAACTATAGGCAATTTTGCCCATGGCTACAAAATGAGGACCGTCAGCTTTTAGAAATAATCATGTACCTGCTAGGCAACCATAAGAGCGCTTTAATACAGTGATGATAAATGGGCTAATCTCAGTCGACATGCACAAATTAACATTTTTTCTTACCGACTTTAGACTAGGCCCCAAAACTGTAAATAACGTGCACATTTTACACTTTTTCTATTCATATTTTACAGCGTTACATTCCATGCAGATGACATTTTTATATTTTTTATCAATTAGTATAAAATATATCTGTTTAAATGATTTCAATAAATGTTTTATTCATTCTAATTTAATGTTCTAATAAACTTGTTTTTAACTTTTTGTCGTTTTTAAAGAGGCACACAATTAATTGTTTCTCACTTTATGAATCTGGTCCAGATGACATGATTTAAGCTTTTTTGTTGTTGACACAATTAATCTTTTCTTTGTCTTCTCATTATTTTTTTGTTTTTGTAGAAATTGATGAAACCTAAAATACTGTAATCATGTGATGCTTTTAACTATAGTTATAAGGGAACCTTTTTTCCCCCCTCTCAGAAGCAAAAGTTAGAAATTAAAAAATGCTTAGATTATAGAAAATAATTAAAAATGATTCTGAAAGTGTACCTTTGAACAGAACTGCTCATTTTATTTTTAAACATTAATGTTCTGAAAAATTTTGTGCTTCACAAAAATATCACTTATACAGTGGCTACATGATAAAAGATGTTTTAAATTGTTATATAAAATGTTTGTGCCTATTCCTCTACCTTTTTATTCAGAAAAAAGAAAATAATGAGTACTTTTGTTTTAACAATGTTTGGGGGATCTCAATTAAACTTTTGTATTTTCTTATGAAATTGATATTTCAGTGATAAAACGAGATTAATCAAAAGGTATTGTTATTCTAAAGTATTGTTTTAACTTTACCACGTTTTATGTTTTTGTAATAAGATCAACGTATCAGTCATTTTCTTTCTTGTTTGAAATAAATGTTTCATGACTTAAAATTTGCTGCTTCTTTTAATATTATTTGAAAAAAATCTATGTCAACTGTTATTCATTTATTGTTATTATTATTATTATTATTACAAATTTTAATAGTTTATGTTGTAGTGTTCAGTGTTTATCAGGACGAGTTAGGATGAGTCAGCATCCTGGCCTCAGCGACATGACTGTATGGTAAATAAATCCCCTTTTTGCTAATCTGCTTCCCTTCCTGAAAAGATAGACTTTAAATCTCCAAAATGTTTTTATCAAAATACTTTCTGCAAAGCTTTTCAGCTCTTGTTCCTGTGTCAGACCATCAGGATCCTCACAATCTACACCCAACAAAGGACAGAACTTTGTCATACCCCCAGGACAACAAGGGGTGTGTGATCACCATGGTAACAATGGGAGTTGGCCAGTTGGACAGAGCTTCAAACAGAACCCCATTGTTTACCAGTATTGTGTGAAAAACCCAAATGTACATCTGTGAAGAAAATTGTTTTTAAAAGATAAGAAATATGTTTGTCTGTCTCTCCTTCCTGTCCTCTCAAACCAGCCGGTCAAAGCAGATGGCCGCTTTTCCTGAGCCTGGTTCTGCTGGAGGTTTCTTCCTTTAAAAAGGGAGATTTTCCTTTCCACTGTCGCCTCTGTGCTTGCTCAGAATGGGAGACTGCAAAGAAGCCAAGATTCAACTTGTCTGCTGGATTCCTTAGATAGAGAATTTTACTAATTGCCTTTTATGTATGTGAATGTTCCTGTAAAGTGCCCTGAGACAACTTTGTTGTGATTTGGTGCTATATAAATAAACTGAATTTAATTTAATTGAAAAAATAGAACTTTATTGATCCCACAGGAAATAATTGTGCCAGAGTTTCTGTACAAAGGAAAAAGGAAGGAACATACACAAAAATCACAAGATATAAAAAAAACAGAGAAAATAAAAATACAACAGATAATATAAAAATGCCAACAATTAAGTTCTAAACAGGTGCAGACATAAACATTAAAGTGTTTATTGTAGTGAATGATTAATTGTATTGTTCTATGTGTAGAAAGGGGAGGAGTTGAAAAGCTTGGTAGCCACAGGGATGAAGTCCAATAATTCTCAGTCAGGTCATTGGACAGTTTCTTTTTTAAAGAAACTGTCCAATGACCTGACTGAGAATTAATGTATTTGATACCTGGATGATTGAAAATGAACTTTGTTGTCACAGGGAGGAAGGACTTCATGTGATGTTTTGTGGAGCACCTCTGTGGTCTCAGTCTACGACTGAAGGTGCTGCGGTAAGAGTCCAGGGTGTCATGCAGGGGGTGTGACGTTCAGGATCTGGAGCGGTTTCCACAGCATCCTCAGACACCTCTGTCAGAGACTGCATGTCCACTCCCAGAACTGAGCCAGCTCTCTTGATGAGTTTATCGAGTCTGTTGGCATCAGCTGTCTTCACCCTGCTGCCCCAGCACACCACAGCGTAGAAGAAGACGCTGGAGGCCACCGAGTGGTAAAACATCTGCAGCATGGTCCTGCAGACGTTAAAGGACCTGATTCTCCTCAGAAGATAAAGGTGACTCTGTCCTTTCTTGTAGAGGGCTTTGATGTTAGCTGTCCAGTCCAGTTTATTGTCTAGGTGGACCACAGGTCATAGGCGGCGCAACCATTATATGTGAAGGGGACAAGTCCCCCCCACATTAAAAAAAAGTTAATTTGGGCCCCCCCCCCCCCCCCCCCCCCCCCCACACACACACACACACACTTATAATAAAACATTAGTTCAGGCGGTGCGGTTTCTCTTTCTTTGTGAACAAATCCATTCCACTTGATTAATGGGAGAATACTCAAGCCGTATAACTCCACTCCAGGTTT